CAACTTGTACTAATAGTCTTCTTGCCACCTGCCTTTTTCGCCTCTGCTTGCTCCCAGGTCCCAGGGCCATTGCCATGTGTTTTAGGTTTTAATTATGGCAGTGTCCCACTTCCACATACCAATTTCTGCTTCAGTATGTATTGCTGAATGGCAAATCATGCCAGAACTTAGCGGCTTAGGACAACAATAATTTATGAATTTCTCACAATTCTGTGGGTTGACCAGACAGTTGGCCTTCGGGTCTTGCATGGTGTCCTACGTTTAGCCAGAGTTTGTGTGGAGGCTTGGATGTTGGGAAGATTCTGTGTGGTTTCAGGACCTCTTTCCCCATGTGGTCTCACATTCTCAAGAATGCTAGTCCAAGCTTCTTGTATATAACTGAATTTGAAGAAGCCTGGGCTTCTTACATGCGGTGACGGGACTGCAGGACCTTTTAGGGTCTAAGCTCTGCAACTTACACAACAGCACATCATGTCGATCAAAGCAAGTTACGAGGCAAACCGAGATTCAAATGGCAGTTGGAGATACAGAGATGCCTCTTGAGTGGAGGAACAGTAAAATCACCTTGCAAAGGAGCTTGCGGGGAGGCCGAGAGGACAGGAAACCATTCTAGAATCTGCCTTGTTTTGCCACCTAAAGATGGGAACTCCGGGAAATGAGAAGCACGCTGCCCTGCTCCATCTTCTTTCTGTTGTGTTGTAGTTGCTGCCAGGTAGGAAAGCTGCAAAAGCAACCAGCTGCTACCACTTCTATTTCTTCTTAGTCTTCATCTAGAAGACAGTCATGTGGGCATCATTGCAATACTTGGTTAACCCACACCTGATCACCTTTATTCTACACTTTTTTTGTGTTTCTTGGGAAGAAGGATCTGTTCCCTCTCACTGTTTTAATATCTGGAAGAAGGAAAAGCAAGAAATGAGGCTGAAGCTAGCATTTCTGAAAGAAAGAAGTGATTTCAGAGTTATTCCAAACCATCAGGAAAGACAGGGGAGACAACCCCAACTTGTCCAAAGCAGGAAGCAAAGAGGAAGAGGCATTAAGAGTTGGAGACTGAGGTGCAGATCCAGATTCTAGTGCTGCCCCCTCTTCCACGAGTTACTCTTCTCCATTTTGTCCTTGAGAAAAGGAAAACTGCCTTATGTCCCTCATTTCTGTTACTGCACCAGCCCCTACCCAACTGATAACTTAGGAGATGCTGTATTCTTTCCAACCTTAACGCAGTTTTCCACACATTTGTTAACTCTCCAAGATCCTATTTTTAAACTGGTTCTGCTAATTTTTGCATTCTCCCCCTGCCTGCTTCCAAGGCCAGGGTTGGGTTGGGGTTGGGGTGAGGCAAGTACAAGAGTTTCTGGCTCATCTCTCACTTCCTGAGCTGAGCTGGGTTGTACTAATTGACCTCAAGGGTCTCAGCTGTTCTAAGTTGGGTGTTTGTTAGATCTCGTTAGGCTTGTAATTAGTGCAGAAAATCTGGGTCAGAGGCAACTGGTTGGAGTGATGGTCTCAGGGGCTGTGAATAAAGGCGAGGAAGAGCAAACAGGTTCCTGGTTCTGTGGGTGGGGTGAGCCTGGGACAGGGGACGGTGGGACTGGTGTCATACACATGGTTGAACAGACACAGGGTCATGTGCAGAGAGGTGCTCAAACTCTTGGGTGTGTGCGTGTGCTGGGGTGTGTGCGCATGCATGCGAGTGTGTGTGTGTGTGTTTGCTCTCGCTTTTACTCCGGTTTCTTTCCAATCTCTCCTTATATGGTGTGGCTCCAGAGCAGGCTGGGGATTGGCTGCTGCGGTTGGGAGACTGGGAGCTTGGAAGAAAGGAGGAAGAGAAACGAACCACGCAGGGGCTGGGGGTGAGAAGGGGAGGAGGCTGGAGCTGGGCTTCTAGGGCTGTGCTACAGGGCTGCGTCCGCTTGCCTGGGCGGGGTAGAGGGGAAGTGATGGGGGGGGCTGGTTTCTGGGGAGAATATGGTAAAATATACTGTTGACAGAGGGGCTGGGACTAGGGTCAGAGCTCCAGGCTCAGCATGGCAATGCTTTTGGAAGTCTGGAGCCGGAGTCAGAGAAACTCGTGGGCTTCTCCTCTTTCTTCTCACCTTAAACCGCCTACGGGCTGTGCGGAACAGCATGCCTAGGAAGCCGTCAGCACTTCAGGTCAACACTTCAGACATTGGCCTCCTGTTCCCCAAACCCCTACTTACCGAGTGGGTGGGGAAGAACAGGCAAAGTGGGTAAAAATGTCACTGAAATATGGAATTTCAGGCATTGAGTTCTTCACCTGTCTCCACTCCTGACCCTTTCAACTGCGCATCCTGGAGCTCCTCATCTCCCCATCCTAGGGCCTCCCCAAAGATTCTCCCTTCTCCAGTGCATTTGTGTAAGAAAAGAAGATAGCACAATTGATGGGAGAGACCAAGGGAGGAGGAAAACACACACAGATGCAGGTGTACTGGCAACGGGGTAGTAAGCAAGTTGGCTCCTGTCCCCCCCTACTCGAGCTACCTGTTTACCCCAGAACCCAGCAACTGGGCAGGAGTGGAGGCAATATGGCAGGTAGAGAAACTGGGATGCTGGAAGGAGGGGAGAGATCTGGGAGAGGGGAGGCTGGGCTCCCATGCTGTGGGTCCCTGCCTGCCTCCCATCCTGCTGCTGCCTGGGGCGGGGCTCCCTCCTTTCCTGAGCCGTGCTGGCCACCCACCTTTGGGGTAAGCTTGCAGCTGGTGTCCTCGGCTGGTGTCCTCGAGGGAAGACTGCAGCTCCTGGAGACAGGAGACCTTGTGCTGCTCCTCTGTCCCAGGCCTCAGCGCATCCCTGGTGCCCGCTGTCCTCAGAGCAAGGGCGTGGGCCCTGCGTGTGGGGTGTGGTCACGGCTCCCACGCTGGAGCACGGTGGTGGGGACCCCGGCCTGGCTCCGGAGGCCTTACTGCCCCGGCGTTGCCGCTGATCACAGTGGCCACAGCCACGTGGCCAGGCCCCGGGAAGTGCCAGCAGCCCTTTACTGATCTCCTGGCCTTCAGGCATCTCTGTCTGTCGTTTGCCCAACGAGAACTCTCCATTTTGCAGATGAGAAAACCAACACGCAGAAAGCTGGTGCCTCATCCAGGGCCTTGTAAGTAAATCTGAACCCGCATCTGTCTGGTTCCAAAGCGGGGCTCATTTTACTGCCCTGTGGCCTGCTTCTGGTGCCCAGGAGGTCGCAGGAGCCGAGTGCCTGGCCCTCCATCTCCCAGGGGCCTGATCTTTCTTTTCTGCTCCCCTCACCCACCTCTCCTCCCAGGGCCTCCCTCTGTCCTCTAGCTCCCCTGGCAGCCACAGATACTTGGCATGTTGGGATATATGTGTCCTTTTCACTTTTGTCTTTTATCACGTGGAGCAGAAAGGAATAAAAAGAGGGAAAATGCTGGTAAAATAAAATACATACAAAGATGGGGACTTCTACAAAGAAAGTAACTATTTTAACCTGGATTTTCATGATTTGGCAATGGGTGGGTGTGCTGACCATGCTGAGCGCAGGAGAGGAGAAGTCTGCAGACCCAGATTTCTTTACCTGCTACCCCAGGAAACCCTGGGAGGACACTCAGGCGGCCTCTCCCTCTCAGGTGGGGTACTGGGGTACGTATTCCTCAGGGAGGAGAGTTGTTTAGAGAACTATGGGCTAGCTCTAGGGACAATTCTCAGGGCCGCATGCAGGGCTACAGAAAACGCAGCACCTCCCTTCCATGCAGACCGTTTAACATGGAGACATTGCCCATCTCGCTTACTTGGGATGTGGAAGTAACAGCAAAGCAGAAGAATGGGAGGTGAAGGGTCGGTGCTTCACCCAGAGGATTTCCCTTCTCTCCCTCCTACTGAATCTTCCTGAATGTCCCATGAGGGCAGCCTCACTGCCAGTGCCCACACAGTCTGTCCCCATGGTCTCCCCCATCTCCCCTCTCACCCCAAGAGAAGTGCCAGGGCTTGGCTGTTGGAGGCAAGTGGAGAGCTAGGGAAGGGGCCAAGGGGTGGGAAGAGGTGCATATACTTCCAAGTGGTTTCTAACCCCGTTAGTTGACATAAGACTCTCTGTCTCCTTGTCAAAACCTACTCCGCTCTTGCCTTCATAACTTTTCTCTGGACCATGTCACTGTTGCTAACCTGTTCTCAGGAAGTTCAGAGGAAGAAGCCAACAAAATAGTGTGAGATCTGCCATTGACAAGAATGCAAGGGAGCCTGGCCAGGAGGGTGGTGGTACGAGCATAAAGATGTTTTGCTTAAGTTGGGGCTTGATGAGTATTGGGAGAGGTCTGAGGAAGGAGAGGGAGAGGCTACAGGAAACCCTAGATTGGCCAAAAGAGGAACTTGGGCACATGTTTGGTTTCCCCCCAGTCTTGCCCAGCTTGCATTGCAAATTAGTTTCGTTCTTAGTAAGTATGCCCTAAGTTCCCCTGCACCGGGCCCCCCTCACCTAGGGACCAGGCCAACCCCAACTGTCCAGCACCGGATCTCTGAGTCAGGGTTGGGAGAGATGTGGGAAACGAGGGATGAAACGCGGCAAGTAAGAAATCCAGGCCGCTCGATGTCATTCAGAGGATGAGCAAGAAGCTGGTGCACCTTGTGGGATCCCACAACTCCCACTCTGGGCCAGGATGGATGTCACTTCTGTGTACACAGGCAAGTGGCTATGGCTTCCATATCCCTAGGACTAGAGCTGGGCAGCTGAAATTGCACCCTCAGACTGAAAACCTGGACTGGGACCTCAGAGCAAAAGCCTTCCCCCCAAACTTAGCTTATCCACGTCCTTGGGTCCTAGGGAACAGCAGGACATTCCCTGCCATGTCTAAATGGCTAGACTATGCCTTTATTCCCCTCTCTCTTCATCTAGGTAAAAGCTTCTTACCACTATAGGGGTCACCCCCCCAAATCTGAGGCAATTTAGGCATCAGAGAGACAGACCCGGAGAAGGGAGGCGAGGAGGGCAGGATAGGAGGATGGGAGGAGGATTGGGGAGCAGCAAGAGCAACGAGTTGTGTGTTTTTCCTTTTTTTGACTGAGGTAAATAAAAAAGCTTTATCCTGCGACACTTGGAGGTAAAAGTCCGAGCCCCCCGAGTTCCAGATGCCAGCCCCTTCCTTCACATGAGGCTCTTGCGGTACTGACTGTGCTGAGCAGCTGGTCTGAGGTGGGAGTCAGGGCTGTGCAGGTCCATCTGTCTGTACAGGTCCCTCAGCTCCCGGACCTCCTGCAGCACCCTCTTCGCCTGGCTCCAGTTCGACGACGCCTCTCCCAGCAGCCGCTCTGTCTCTAGCAGCAGCTGTTCTGACTCGGAATCAGGGGGAGACCAAGGGGGGTCCTTGGCCTTCCGCTTCCCGTCTCCCAGGCCCTGAACCTCTGCCAGCAGCTCCTGAGTCTTTTCCAGTTTCCTGGCTACCAGGTCCTGGATCCGGGACAGCTGGGCCGGGTGGGGCGGGAGGAGGGTGGGGGGGTCCTCGGGCTGCAGCGGGAGGGTGCAGGGGGGGACAGCGTCCCGCCGGGACAGGATCTCCTCCAGGGAGGCACAGCGGCCTTTCTCTGTAGGGGTCAGCTTCTTGGGTGCCTGAGGGGTATAGGTGGCCCCTTTGTCCGGCTTCTCCCAAGACCGGGGAAGGCCGCCGGCCCGCTCCGAGGAGGGCTGGACGTGGTCCGAGTCTGCTCTCCGCCGGCTGCCTGCTAGCTGGGCCGCTGACTTGTCCAGGTCCACCCTGAAGCTGTCGGCGCAGGAGGTGCGCTCCTCAGGGGAAGGCTCCTCCTCCTGGATCAAGTCCAAGGTCAGCATCCCATCCGAGGTAGAGGTGGAGGCCTAGAGGGGGGAGAGGATGGGAATGAAGGGGGTGGACTGCCATAGGGGGCCTGTTGGGAGTGACTGCCAGAGAGAGAGAGAGAGAGAGAGAGACACACACACACACACACACACACACGCATGCTCAGACTGCCATTTCCCCCTCAACACGCTTCCCCTAAATGAGAAGTGCTCCATCCTAACAACTTTCTGACTTGTTTTTACGATTTCTTATTCCTTTGATAGTGATTTGAACTTTTCTCTTATTCTTCTGTGTCTTAAAGTAACTTCTGCTTGTTTCCCATGTTCTCCACTTTCCTACAGACCTCCCCAAGAGTGCCTTTCTTCTCCATCTCATGGACTTTGAGCATCTTTTGGGGTCTGGCACACACGGGATGCTCCACGGCACACAGTAATCGGTGCCCTCCCAGCCACACACCTCAACCGCCTCTGTTCTAAAGAGCCACAACCCCTTGCCTTACAGGAAAACTTGTTCTACTTCCAGAATACCGTAATAAAAAAAAATAATACGGGTATTATTCAGCCCCTCATGCATCCTCGTACATATGTGGCTTGAGTCGTTCATTCCTCCCAGCAGCCCTTCAAGGTGGGCATGGTGACTGCTCTACTCTACTGCTGAAGACATAGAGCCTCAGGGAATCACAGGGAGAAGAGATTGCAAAGCTGGGTTCCAACCTGGTTGTTTCCAAAGCCTATATTCTTTCCACTCTACACATCTGCCTGCCTCCCTAGAGACTGAGCGCTTGGACAGTGAAAGGGACCAGCACTTGGCGTGTCACGGGGCTGCATGGTACAGAGCCTCGTGCTGTTCCCCCTCAGGACAGCTGGCCACTGCACAGTAACAGGCCCCGCGGCACAGCAATCACTGCTGCTATTTTTCACTTTCCTTGTGGGTAGATCTCATTTCCCACAGGGGATGATAAACTGATAGAGGGCAAGGACTTTTGAACTCATAGTAGGTACTAAATAAATATTTCTGCTTGGAGGAATTGGGCTGGGGGACGGGGTGAAGGGGCTTCCCTAGCCTTTGACCTTGGTATGGCAAATGCCTCTGGTGGGCCGTCTCAGATAGTCTTGTCTGAGACAGACTAATGTGGAGTTGGCCCTTCAATAAGTTTTACACCCTTACAATCTTACATACCACAGCCATCAGGTGTCCTCGAGTTGGGGGGCGGCGGGAGTGTTGGATTTTTGCCCTGTCTCGAGTGGGGTGGGCGAGATAACTATCCTCCTCCACGGTGACCTGAAGAGATGCACTGTGATGAGTCATGGGTGTTCTCACAGACCCATGTGAAGCAGCCCCTGAGTCCTCGACTGGGAAATAAACCCACCCATTAACTGCTTCTGAGAAAATTCAAAGACAAAGCCTTTATGGCCCCTGTGAGGGGTGGTGGTGGTGTGTGTGTGTGTGTGGGGGGGGGGGTTCCAAGGCTGGCCCCATGCATCCAAAGCACAGAAAGAGTTGGCAGAAAGACGTAAAAGGTGGGAGAATGGGGTTTGCAAAGGGAGCTAAAGAAGTATAGCTCATGGGGGTAGCAGGTTAAGTGTGGTCCACCCATAATCTGTCCCTTTAGTGAGTCATGGTTACTGCCTCTGCCCTGCTGTTCCTCCTCCCCAAATGAGCCCCCCTGACCTCATCCAAGATGCGGTTCTTGGCTCGGGTGATAGCAGAGTTGAGGGCACTGATCCATGATTCCTTCTCTTCTGGACTCACTGCTAGGAAGATCAGGTTGGGAGCCTGTGAGGGGAAGATTCTTGATTCAGCCAGGGTTTTAGGGTGGGTGCCTCACTAGGACAGTAAAGAAATAAGGAATTATCATCTCATTCTCTTAGACTCAGCTCATAGGAGAGTTTCTGCTTCCAGAGTCACCCACAGAACTAAAAAAACTGGCCCCTATTCCTAGAAGATGCCACAGCTTAGAGGTTCCTTTAGAAATGACCAAGGACAAGCTAAGAAGGGTAATGGATATACATCTGTCACTGGAGATAATTATAAGGAGGTTTGATAAATGATAAAGGACAGAGACTAAAATAAAGATCTTTAATGTGTGAGTAAACAGAATGTAACAGGATCTTCCCTGAATTCTCTCAGACAAGAGAAACTGGGTTCAGAACTTCAACCATCTATCAGGTACAGGGAAAAGTGATTTTCTTCCAAGAGATGTGTGGTGTATATGGGCGTGTATGTGAGAGAGCAAGCGAGAGAGATGATCTTTGTGACTGGACAGTTTAAAAGCTGCTTTGCCTGCAGGGAAGGAAATGGCCACATATTCTCAGGTTAAATAACAAAAGCTGGTAGAAGAGCAAGGCCATCTGAGCCAGGAATGGGGGATGGAACCCAAAGGGGGAGGGTGTTCTTCACCCCCAGCACCCCACCCACCCACCCATGCAAGCGGCAATGTTCTAGTGGCCAAGGAGGCAGGACAAACCTACCGTGTTGCCGGGCTGTTTGGAGTGGGCAAGAGTAAACTTGCTATGATTTTTCTTGCTCCTGCTTTTGGATTTCCGGAGCTCTTCACACTTCTCATAGTCACTCAGGTCAAACACCTCTTGAATATTTTTCTCATCTTTTACCTAAGGGAGGGTTAGACGTGAGGTGCTGAGGATAAAATTACTTCATGCCTTCCCTCAGACTGTTGATTTGGACCGGTCTTGGGAAGCAGGATAAGCCTAAGAAGAGGGGAGGGAGAACAGGATAGGAGAGCTGTCTCACCCAAGGCCCACACAGGCCGGACAGGGACACAGCCCTGGGGCAGCCCTCAAACCCCAAACTCCTCAGGTGGGCTTCCATGTAAACCCTATCCACACGCTCTCCAGCTAAGCTACTGTTTCCAGAGCCCCAGGATGTCTCTCTTCCTTAGGACCCCCATTATGTCCTTCAAAAGACAAGGCTTACATGGCTAACAGGTTAATCCTATCATCATCCCTGGACTGCTGTTGATCTCCCAAGGGAGGAAATAAAAGCACCGGCCGTATTGGGGGATGTCTTGAGGCAAAGGTCTCCCCCATCTTATTAAACGTGTTGGTTATTTATTTATTTATTTATTTATTTATTATTTTTTAAAGTAATCTCTACACCCAATGTGGGGCTCGAACTTAGAACCCCAAGATGAAGCGTTGCCTACTCCACTGGCTGGGCCAGCTGGGCTTTCTTACCTGACCTGACTCCCTCCTCAAATATATACTATCAAAAAGAGTCATCTACCTCCTTCATTTCAGGAACTTCAGCATCACAAAAACAGCAGTTCCCTGGATCCATGTGTTGAATTTGTTCAGACAAGGCCAAGAAACATGCCTGTACTACTTATTCTCCTTCCTCCCTCCCAGGAACCAGGACAACCCAGCCTTGCCCCTGCAGGCCTCGAAGGCCACTGAGGGCATCCATCCACCTCTCCGTCGACAAAGATGCACTTATTCTGTCCCTGGAGGACGGAGGATCAGATCTGCGCCCTGCTACTTCCTTGCACGGTTCCAGTGAGAGCCGAAGCCCCTTCCTGCTGGAAGTTCTGTCTACGTGTGGCCCTCCCCTGCCCTGGAGCCTCCCCTGCACCTGGTGCTGCCCTTCCCAGCTTCAGCCGGCACTCGGGCCCTCACCCTCTTGCTCAGTGTCTCACCGGAGACCCTTATTCTGTCTACATCCCCTGATGCCCACCAGCCTGTGCTGAGCGCCGCAAAGCAAATTCCAGTAAGATTTCTGCCGAGGTCTGTTTGAAATCTCTCAGTTGTTTGTCCTCCCCACTAAGGTGACCCCCCGCCATCCCCGGACTGGGACTGGGGGTGCCGGGAGGCTGTGACTCCCGGACTGTGCTGGCTCACAGGAAGAGAGGGCCTTAGACACCAGCAGCCTGACATCCGCAAGCCCTCTGGCCCTCTGCCGCCTCCAAGGACCCTGGGAACGCACTGCTTGTGCTTTCCTGGGACGAGTGATGAAAAGCACCAGTGCCTGTCTTGTTAAAGCTAAACAAGCAGATAAAAGTAGTCTCGTGTCTACTTGGAAGTCACCCACCCTCCCCGACTAGAATTACTTCCCAAGCGCCACAGCGGGAACTGGGTGCCCAGGTGGCTTCATCTATTCTCCTGGCTCTCCCCAGCCCTGAAGTAGAGGAGCGCTTTTCTCTTCCACCCCCAGCCCATCTCTGGTCTGGTATCTCTCTGTTCTTCGGACGGGCTGCTGGGCCCAGAGGCGGGCCCAGAGGCGGAAGGCTGATCACACAGCCTCGTGTGGGTCGATGGCTGCCCATCAATCTGCCCATCTGCCCATCTGCTCTGGCACGACCGGCCTCCTCCAGGGCCCTCCCCCTTCTGGGGCTCCCCGGCTCTGGGCCAGGCAGGACTGGGGATGGAAGCAGAGAAGATATCGGCAAGGGGTATCTGAGGACAATTCCCAGAAGCATGGGGGCAGGGAGGGAGGATGATGTGCTGCATCCTCCCGTCCTCCTTCCTCAGGCTTGAGACTATCAGCAGATGCCAGAAGTCTTAGAGAGGAAAGTGCTGGGTGTGTGTGCAGGGCCAGGGGAGGAGAGGTCCTTGTTCTGTTTTCCTTACAGGAAGGGAAGTGAAGGGAGGGGGCATTCTGCCCTGGACTCGGGTGACAAGGAAGGAGGATGCAGGGACAGAGGTTAGGCCATGATAGGGCAGGGGCAAGACAGGCAGCAGGACCGGTAGATTCCAATTCCCACGGAAGGTACACAACTCTGAGACCTTTGCTCTCCACTGTACGGTTTTTCCTCCACCAAATTCCCAAAGCCTCATTTATAACTACCCATTTTCCAAAGCTAACCCCACCCTCTGCTGACCCACAGACAGGGCTTTTCCCTTGCCAAGAAAGATGCCCAATTTCCTCTACCAGGAGATCTCCAGAAGATCAAGTTTCTGTTCCAACACATCAACCTCATGATCATAAGGTACCTTTTGAGAATGAGGAAAATGATTAATAACAAAAAATACAGGAGGATTTCTTTGATGGGCGGGAGAGCCTGGCTTTATATGGAGAAGCAACAAAGAAAGAAAATTCGAGGGGAGAGGGTTACGAATATTCTTTTTTTTTAAGATTTTATTTGTTTATTCATAAGAGACACACAGAGAGAGGCAGAGACACAGGCAGAGGGAGAAGCAGGCTCCCCATAGGGAGCCTGATGTAGAACTCGATCCTGGGACCCCAGGATCACGCCCTGAGTCAAAGGCAGATGCTCAACCGCTGAGCCATCCAGGCGTCCCATGGGTTAGGGATGTTCTTACATTACTACATAAATTACAAACATCATACTTTGCATTAAAAAAATATCTTGAGGGACGCCTGGGCGGCTCAGTGGTTGAGCATTTGCCTTCAGCTCAGGGTGTGATCCCTGGGTCCTGGGATCGAGTCCTGCATTGGGCTCCCTGTGGGGAGCCTGCTTCTCCCTTTGCCTGCATCTCTCATGAATAAATAAATAAAAACTTAAAAAAATTAAATAATTAAAAAAAATCTTGAATCTGTTAGCTCTAGAGCTTGTGGGAAGCGAAGAGAATAGAGCATAGAGTCCTCCAGTAGCTTCATCCTTAGTCCAGGGCTGCCTGAGCAGGGGACAGGCTCCAAAGAAGAGGTGTAAGGATAGGCCTGTGCCCACTGCTCCTGCACCCCTCTCGGCAGGGGGCAGCAGGCCCCATGACTGGTCAGATGCTCCTGACTCATAGGACACCAGGCCTCGGAGGCTGAGGTCATTCATCCTTCCCCCAGTCTCTGTACTCTTTCCTCCACAAACAAGGAGCAAGCACACTTTTGCTCCAGACTCTGTTCTCTGTACAAATACAAATGAGAAAAGATCTCTTGTTCCTTCTACCCTTTCACTGTTGACATATCGGAAGTTCTTTCCAATTGCTCACCAGAGTCTCCTGCCATTATGAAGTTCGGGGAAGACAGGAGATACACTTTGACACTTGCTTGTTGTTGTTGTTATTATTATTTTTAAATTGGAATGCCAGAAAATTGGAAAACCATCTACAGGATTTGGGGTTGGGTGGAGGTAGCCCTTAAAAATGAATCCTATCAAAGGCTTCTCTCACCACCTACCATCACCAAGTTCCCGCCTGGCGTCAACAGTCAGGTTGAAACACCCCGAAGAGGGATTGCTCTGGCCCTGGCATGGCTTAGTTCTTCCCTACTTGCCTAGCTACATGTTCTGTCGAGACGATTACTTTCTCTAGGGCTGTGTCTGTGTCTGTTTCAATACCATAAAAGGATTTATTTACCTCAATATAGTCTACTGCAGAAGGCAGAAGAGGTTAGAGCTCAGGGTGGACTTCCCAGTTAGCTCTGGGGTGAGGGAACACGGGGCAGGAGGGGCCGTGCCACCCGGGGAGCACAGGACAGTCTCCAAGCTAGTGTTGACAGCGTCTCAGAAGGAGGGACTGAATGTCTTTCACCTCATGGAGGCCAATGTCAGTTTCTCAAGTGTTAACCGAGCTCCAGAAATAAGAGAGAAAAGGGAGAAGAGTGTGGATTCAATGATCCGGGCTCAGGTTCTGAATGTAGACTGTGGTTTTCATTTTAATTACCCAGAGACAGATAAGGGGTTGGTGACTCCATTTGTCTCCTTTCTGATACAAATGGGAGAAGTTATGAAGAGGGTGGTGAATGAGTTCCTTGCTTCTCCTTCTTCTTCTTTTAATGGAGTGGGAAGCATACTGGTTAGGATCACTGGCTTCAACAGAAATAACTGCCACTCACAGACACTCTGCCTGAGGCCATAGGAGACTGACCCAGGGCTGTGCATGTGTTTTCTGTGATTGGGGCAGCTGTACTTGCAATATGGCCTGCATCTGCCCCCGGCTAGAGACAGGAAAGAGGTTAGCTGGCTTGGGTAGGGGAGCGGGAAGAGGTGGAGAAGAAACCCAGTAGAGTTTTTCAGCAGCTCTGGCAAAGAAAAAAAAAAATCCTACCTCCAGCTAGCTTGCCAGGATAGAGCAGGGGGCAGCAGGGGACACTTAGAACTTTTGGGACATCCTGGGAGGGGGGTTATCATCCTTGTCAGAAAGGTGTTGGCTGAGAAAAATCATTAAATAAGATGGACACTCAACTTGGAATTCTGACTCGGGTTTTCTGGATAAAGGGTGACCTTTCTCTGCAGATGCGACAGGGGTCGAGACCAGCTGAACTGCTGAACTTGCTTCTGCACAAAAGGGGGGAGGGGGGAGGGCAGGGGGGCACGGAGGCAGGCAGGTCCCCTGCGGAGGGACAGCACGGGACAGGAGGAAACAGAGACGGGGGCGAAGGGCGCCTACCTCCTTCTCCGAGATGTACAGCTGGTCCCCCTTCAGCACCACATAACGGTTTTTCCAGATCTCCCTGAAAATCCCTTTCCCGCAGAATTTCCGGACCCAGCCGACCTTCTCCGGCGGCGCGCACTGGTGGCTGCCATCCTGAAGCCCCTGCCCCGGGCGAGAGCACAACCGGCCGGTCAGCGGCTGCCGCTACGCGCCCGTGTCGTTCCGGCCCTCACGACCCCCCTCGGCGGCCCGGTCCCCGCGGTCCTCGTGACCGTCCCCCCGAGGCTGCGCTCCCGGCGCCCCGCCGTCCGCCGCCCGCGCCCCCGAAGGCTGCCACTCCGGGCCCCCTGCCCCGCCGGCCTCGCCCTCCTCACGACCGACGGGTCCCGGCCGCGGCCCGGGCGCGGGGGCCTCGCCCGCCCGGCCCCCGCCCCCTCCCGCGGCCCCGGTCCCGCCGCGCCGGCATCCGAGGCAGCTCCCTGGGTTCCTCATTGTCTCCCCGCCGCTGCAGCGCGCCCGCAGGCGGCCGGGGCCGGGGCCGGGGCCGGGGCCGGGGCCGGGGCCGGGGGCAGGCAGCAAAGTCAGCCGAGTGCGAGCCCCCGGCCCGAGGCGACGCACAACAGCTCGAGGGGCCGGCCCGGGGTCCCGGGCGCGGCGGGCACACTCACCCTCTTGGTGGGATGGTTCTTCTTCATCGTTCCCGGGGGCGCGGGCGCGGGGAAGGGGCCCGGCCGGCGGAGCTGCCCCCGCCGCCGCCGCCGCCGCCGCCGCTCCGCCCTCCCGCGCCCGGACTCTCCCCTTCTTTGTAGCTCCGGTTACACTAAAGGCCGGCCTCCCTCGCTCTCGCACTCGCTCTCGCACTCGCACTCGCTCTCGCACTCGCACGCACGCCCGCTCCCCGCCCCCCGGCGCCCTCCATGCCGGCGCCCACGCGGCCCGGGCCCCCGCGCGCCCCCGCCGCCGCCTCCCGGCCCGCGCCCCGCGCCTCCATCCACGGCCCGCTGACGTTGCGAGTTCAGAATAAAGGGCGAATCGCGGAGCCGGGGATGGTGCGCTCCCCCACCCCCCTCCTTTGTTTCCGACTCGAGGAGGGTGAGGGAGACAGACCTAACGCCCGCCGGAGAGCGGCTCCCCGGGGCGGGGGCGCGGGGCGCGGGGCGCGGGGCGCGGGGCGCGGGGCGCGGGGCCCGCGCTCGCACCTGCGGCCGGAGCCGGGGGCGGAGCCCGAGACCCAGACGGCCGGCGGGGGCGGCGGGAGCGGATAGCGGAGAGAGATTGCGGAAGACCGAGATCACCTAGATCGAGATCGGCTCCCTCCCAAACAAACAAAAACAAGAGCGGGAGGTGGGAGGGCGCCCGCCTCACCGACAGCGGGCATCTGGGACGCACACGCCCCGTGGTAGAGACAGTGGCCTGGGTGGGTCGTGTTGGGGAAAAGTTTTAGGTGTGTGCAGAGGGTCGCGGGGGACGTGAGTTAATGATAATGCACGTTTCTACCCATTTACAAAGCCTCGGGCCTTCTTGGAGCCTCCTAAGTACGAGGTGGGTAGTGTGCTCTCTCCATTGCACAGAGAAAAGGGAGACTCAGGATGGCTGAGAGATGAACAGACACACACGGTAAGTACTGGCAGGAGTGGATTTCTCTGTCGCCAGAGGCCTTGTCCAGAGGACCATGTGGCTTTAAATAGAAGCTTCAGGTGAGGCTTAAACTTCCTCTTACCTGCGTGTCTCTTCCTGCTGCATGGAGGTGGAAACATCCCATCCATGGAAACCTCTGATTCGAGTCCAGTGAAGGGAAGGGGTCAATGGCTGGGGGTTGCCCTGACCCGAGGAACCTCTGCTGATGCCTCCTACACCAGATCCGCCTCACAGCTTGCAGACCAACATTTTAGTGACTTCATTTTTTCCCCAGTACATATTTAACGGGAGGAGGGGAGTCAGGAAACCCAGATTGGGGGAATAGTTTCATCATCACTACTTTGTGGCCTTTGGTCAAGTCAGTGAATTTCTTTTTCTTTCTCTCTCTCTTTTCTAGATATTATTTATTTGAGAGAGGGAGGAGCAGAGGGAGAGGGAAAGCAGACTCTACACTGAATGTAGAGCCCAGGTGGGGCTCCATCTTACGACCATGGCATCATGACCTGAGATGAAACCCAGAGTCCAGGTGGACACTTAACAGACTGAGCCACTCAGGTGCCCCAAGTCACTGAATTTCTTTAGGACTCTGTTCCTCCACATACATATTAAACGGTGAGGGCTGAACTGCCGATTCCATCAACGAGGAAGGTTAGTGGAATACAGGAGATGACCTGTGAAAGTCCTATGAAAATACACAAGTATTACCTTCCAGTGCTAATTATTGAACAGTAATAAGCTAACAATAAGCTGGCATATGATAGACATGCAATAGTCACAAATGAATACAAATTCCTGGCACACGAGCAGGAAAAGAGAACTCTTTTTTCTGGAGACGTCTCAAGATAGAGTATTCCCCAATTTTGTGGTTTCAGGAATGGGGTGGTCTTGGCTTTTTCTGGCATCTGTCAAATGGCAGAGGGGCTTTTCTCCCTTCCCAGACACCCCCTTTCCTCCTAATTCAACAATACTCCTTTTAACCTCTTTTCATTTACTATAGTAATTAATTCCCCTATTACAGAAATTTATCCTTTCAAAATGCTCTTGTATATCATTTCTTGAAATCTTTAGTGCCACCTTGTGAGGTGTATATAATATTATTCCCACTTGGAAAATGAGTAAACTGCATGGCAAATCAATTGACTTGTCCAAGTTTACACAGCAAGTTACTGGCTAAATGGCTTAGAATCCAGGTGTTCTGACTCCAGTCTACTGTTTAGGCTTTGTGTACACACACCCACACACACACCCACACACACACACACACACCCACACACACACACACACACACACCTCTCCCCTTCTCACCGCCTCTATTTCTCACTTGCTGCTTAAAAAGTGCTTTAAAAAGAAGTAAAAATCGAAGGTATCTTCATAAATGAGGAAGCAGAATGTCCCAGTATACTGGGGAGGAAAAATTAGCCTGCATGATCTGCTGGCCAGGCAGATCAGAGTGGTTTGGAGTCATAGTTTAAATAATTATGGTTTATGGGAAACAATTCATGATCTGCCTCATCTTTCTTTCCCCTCCTCTTAAAAGTCAACAAATATTTGAGTGTCTTCTGTATGCAAGGTAGTGGGGTCCTTGTGCAGGAGCTTTGTGGAACATCAGGCAGAGGGACTGCTAAAAAATCAAAACCCTCCAAAGTAATTTTCAGATTCCAGAACAGATGCATGTGGGCTGGAGAACCTTTCCTGCCTATTTGCTCCTTAAGACGTTATATAAATCTCTGGGCTTTTCTCTCTCTTTCACTAACCTGCACCCCTGTACTGCCTCATCTTACTATCCTGCCCCTACCTTCCCTCACTTTGCCTCCCTTTGTCTGTTACATCTCTGCCTGTGCCATACTCTTCTTGGGCCTATTCTTCAACTGATTTCTCTCTCACCAGGTGAACTTCATGGCACCTGAATTGGGATCTTTGACTTAGGACTGTTTCCAAAGACCAATTCTTTTTTTTTTTTTTTTAAGATTTTATTTATTTATTCATAGAGACAGAGAGAGACAGAGACAGAGACACGAGACACAGGCAGAGGGAGAAGCAGGCTCCATGCAGGGAGCCTGACGCGGGACTCGATCCCGGGTCTCCAAGATCACACTCCAGGCTGCAGGGCAGTGCTAAACCACTGCGCCACTGGGGCTGCCCCAAAGACCAATTCTTAAGTGAGAAATCTCAGTGAGAATTTATGGGTTCTCTTACACGTTTCACAGCACTGTCTCCTGAGTGAGCTTGACACCACCATACACATAAATCACAAAAATGACTCAGACCAATTCCTCTCTTTGGCGGAGATAAGATACTGGGAGGACTTGTGATGGGGTTACCTCCCTAACAGCATCACCATGGATAAGACACAACTGCCAGTAACTTTATTCTTCAGCTGTTTTATAAGCCACTAAACTTGAGGAAGAAAGGAGCTATCAGCGATAAGGACTGAGTTGCTGCCTGCAAGTTTACTGAGGTCAAACAGTTGTTTTGGTAAAAAAGTGCCTCGGCTTTTGTAGAGTAAATGGGACATTTGACTAGGATATTTTAATCTATAGAAGAGAGGTCATTAAAACCACATGAAACTTTAACTAAAATGCTGTTTTTAAAGGGTAAAAATTGGGCACCCTGGGTGGCTCAGCGGTTTAGCGCCGCCTTCAGCCCAGGACGTGATCTTGGAGACCTGGGATCGAGTCCCACGTCAGGTTCCCTGCATGGAGCCTGCTTCTCCCTCTGCCTGTGTCTCTGTCTCTCTCTCACTCTCATGAATAAATAAATAAATAAAATCTAAAAAAAAGGTAAAAATAAAGGGCCACTAATAATGTAATTAGCTCTGCAAGTCCTAAATAAAAATGCCAGTCTTGAGGCATCTGGGTGGCTCAGTTGGTTAAATGTTGGACTCTTGACTTCAGGTCAGGTTGAGACCTGTGTCATGAAATTGTGCCCTGATTGGGCTCTGTGCTGGGCATGGAGCCTGCCTGGGATGCTGTCTCTCCCTCTCCCTCTGGCCCTCCTCCCAACTCACTCGCATGTGCATATGTTCTCTCTGTAAAAAATTTTTTTAAATTATAAAAAATATATGTAAGGCTTTGATCCTTAATAAAGAAAGGCCAGCTTCTGGCATCACACACTGAGGGTAAGGCTCATTTTTTAGACTTCTTGGTATTGTTAGTTGAAGAGGCTTAATGGAAGCAGGCAAATAATAGGAGAAATGTAAGAAAAGTCTCTTCCTTTTTGTTAAAAAAGATTTATTTTAGAGAGAGAAAGAGAGTGCATGCAGGAGGAGGGTAGAGGCAGAGGGAGAAGCAGAGAATCTCAAGCAGACTCCCAGAGTGCGAGGAGTCCAACTCTGGGTTCAATGCCTCGACCCTGAGATCATGACCTGAGCTGAAATCAAGAGTTGGTCACTTAACCGACTTAGCCACCCAGGCGACCTGAAAGTCTCTGTTATTATTTTCTTAAGATTTTGTTTTGAGAGAAAGAGCAAGTGTGAGAATACAAGCTGGGGGAGAAGGGGTGTAGAAGGAGAAGAGTCCCCCTGAGCAGGGAGCCTGATGTAGGGCTCGATCTCAGGACCCTGAGATCATGACCTGAGCCAAAATCAAGAGTTCGACGCTTAACTAACTGAGCCACTCAGGCAACCCTAAAACTCTTATTTTACAGATGAGGACACTGAGCCACAAAGAGACTAAGTAACATTCCCAGAGCCTAATAACTGTGACAGATTTGAGCCTAGGCTATAGGCTAGAGAATATTTTATGTTCAACATAAAAGGAAGGTTAAAAAATATATAAAGGGCTTACAAAGAACCACGGAGGGATTGTGCTGTGGTGTTTTTGCTATGATTTGAGGATGCCATAACTTCCTGGCATTAGTGATATCACCACTTTCCATTGCTTTTAAGAGAATAGAAATTGACACCAGAATCTATTGTTTGCCTTGACATACTTTAAATATCCTTTGGATAGAAGCAATGCCTTCTCTACATTTGGTGTAAAGCCAGCTCATGCCTGGCTCATGAATTCCCATAAATAGTTATTAACCCCAAAGAAATACAAACTTGTGTCTTTTCACAAAATGGATTTTTATTGTAGTCATACATGGTTTCTCAGTGCCACAGAAAATTGCAATGTAGGAACAATTTTTGGATGGTTCCTTACAGAAACATGATGAGTTCTCAAAAATGAGGTGTTCAGAAATGTGGTTAATGAAAAGTAAAAGTGGTCAAGAGAAGAGAGGATGTGTAGCATGTGTATCAAATGATTACTTTTGAAACTTCTCTGAGCTCTGATAACTCTTTTCTCAAGTAAGATCCCAACAAAATTCATCAGAAACTAAAGTGATTGTGCTGCCAAGTACAAGGAATACAAGGTTTATCTAATAAGGAAACCATGAGAAAAGTGGATTGGGATGGGCACAGACTTAGTCTCAACTCATCATTGCTCAGTCTTGGTGTCTGTGCCAACAGTTTGGGAATTAGCAGGCTACTTGGAGATG